CTTGTGCCCGCCGCTACCAAAGCAGAGGCACAGAGGGCAGCGAGCTCGTCTACTGTCTTACGTAGACCATGGGCAGCCTGCGTGTTGCTCGCTTATTATCCTAACCTCCTTCTCTAGGTTCAAAACAACTTCGTGAAGTTTACCAACGTCAATCCCTTCCGATGTCAGCAGATCCAAAGTTGTGTTCTCTAGCGCTTTTTCCTTTGTTTCACGCATTATCTCAGATATGTGGACAGTGACAGCCTGTATCAGGTCAGCTTGGTTGGTCACTTGATCTTGCAGTGACTTGATCTGTCTTTTGAGCTCAGCGGTTTTGTCTTTGGTCTTATGTTTCTTATTCATCTTTCAACGATAAGAGAAACTAGTACCAAGTTCAACAGTAAATGCCAAAATAAAGATAAGTCACGTAAATTCGAAACAATTTTCCTTGCTTGCTAATCAGCTCTTCATTTCATATACCTTGACTAGATACACCTTCAAGAGAGAGGATAATCAACATTCAACTGCCATAACTTCTTGACGGAAATGCAAGAGCCAGGACAACAACGTCACGGATGAAGTTGTTTTTCATGAAGCTGTTTGACCTACTTAACCCGCGCCCTGCTGGGGGGGGGGTGTTTGAACACCCCCCCCCCCCTGTGGTTTTTCGCGGATATCTCAAAAACGGCGGCGCGGAGCGCCACCGTTTTTGGTACACCTTATCATACATCAATTCTACACATGTTGTGAAAATTTCAGACCAAGGTCATTCAAGGTCAGGTCACCAGGTCACTTGAAGTGACCTCACCTCATAAAAAGTTTCAATGTCTGCCATAGCTACACCGAGTGACCGATCGCTTTGAAACTTTCAGCGATTACTAAGATCAATAGCATGTACAAAATGTATATCTCAGAATTTTGATATCGACGACCTAAGGTCAGGTCAATTTTGCGACCTCCCCATTATAAGTCAATGGGAGAAAATTGAAATGCGCCTCTTTTGGACGAAAGGCATTATAAACACTCCCAAACACTGAATTACAAGTGGTTTCGACACACTGAACATGAAAATAGTGTCCGTGACCCCTGTTTATGCCCCTGAGGTCTTCTTAGGTCACGAATGGTATCTAACAGTTTTTCGCAAATAACTTTTGATAGAGGCATGCTAGAGCGATGAAAACGCCTTAGATGTGTTCAGCTCGCCGATACGGATCGACTGATATGCAACATGACCCTTTCCGGTCAGGTCATGACCTTGACCTGAGGTCAAATTTTGAAGTTGACCTTTCAAGGTCAAATTATAGTTCATTCGATGCGTCTTGACGAGAGGAACACGATGCCGGTAAAAGTAAGCTCGTACAAGGTTTGGGTCAAAAGTTATTGCAGAAGAACTGTTTCCGAAAAAAATCGGCTATTTTTGCAGTTTTTACCCCCTGCAGGCAAAACCGCTGAAGCTAGGTCAAATCTGAGAGAATTATTCAGAAAGGGCGTTAATAGGGCTATCGAATGCGCTTTCCCGCGGCGCTGTAGCTCTATTGGTTCCCGAGTTATGCGTTGGCTTCTTGGAAATTTTCGACATTCGACCTGGAAATCGGCGAAATTTTGCCTTCAATGACCTCTGGTGACCTGACCTTTGACCTGACCAAAAAATTGACCGAAGTGATTTCGTCATTATTTTTGACGCTCTTTCGAACGCCGCCTTCCGCGTATCGCTACGTGGCCCAGGAGCCGAGTTAAAAGGTGTTCAAACACCCCCCCCCCCCATCAGGGCGTGGAAATCCAGGACCCCCAGCCGGGCGCGGGTTAAACTCAGTTTTTTTAAGAAAGAACTAAAATAAATCAACTTTCAGATGCAAGCATAAAGACACATCTTCTACTTACTTGACAGAAAAAGATGTTTCTTAATATCTCCGTTAAATTAGGAGCACGCCATTACATATTACATTACTGAACACAAGCTATATTCGGCTAAAAATCAAGTTTTTCGAGAGCACCGCAAAACACGTCTACACGTCTCAAAACATCAATCAAAACATCCAATAGAATTGATCAAATTGAACTAGCGAATCGGGAAAGCCACAAATGGACTCGGAAAGACCTGCCGAATCGAATGATATGCAACATGACCTTACTCGACCAGCTTCGTGACCTAAGAGCTCTGACCTGACCTTGTAACGAGGTCAATGCCGTAAATTGACCTCACCCGAACAAAAAGTATATCACTCGATGCGCCTGAGCTAGGTGAACACGGTGATGCCAAAATCGCAGCTCTAAGGCCATTTTTGTCGAAGTTATTGACCAAAACCGAGCCCGTGCCTTAGGTCACTTGACCTGACCTCAGAGGTCACCGGTTGACCTGAGACCTTTAAAGCGGATTCCTACCAGTCACTCTGCATCGTACTCTGCCTCAAACGACCACTTAACCGCTAAATTCTAGTTGAATTAGCGGCGTATTTGCGAGGTGGGTTCAATCAACCCTCTCGGCCGGGGCAAATGTAGAAAGACGATGGTCCGGCGGATGCATTTGAGGAATTCTGAAGATTCGATCGTGTTCCCCACTCAATTCTGCGTAAGATGACGAGCTCCGTATCTACGTAACTTGAACGTAACGGATGAGGCGGCCTCAAACGTAAATCGAGGTCCCGAATTCCCTATTCCTCAACACAGGCGGCGGCCGGTTGCTGGGCCTCGTTTCATAAAAGGAATTACTTACGGCGTTCCGTCAATTATGCCAGATTTGGCGTATTTGATGCCAATTCCGTTTCATAAAGCCGGAGACCGGAGTAATTCACGCCATCGAAATTACGGAGCATCATTTACGGCAAATGCTGGATTCCGGACCAATTGATGCCATTTGGGTTTCATAAAACGACGTAATTAACGCCAAATATCTTATCAAGTTCTCTGTTCTTGATATCGGTGGTGTAAACTACGCACAAAAACGTTGCGTGAATTTGAATTAATGTTAAGATTCAAAGCTATTTTTTAATCTTTTTTATAATGTTGAGCCCGGCGAGGAAGAAAGAACAGGCAAAATGAGAAAAAGAAACTGCAAATCTTCTGTAGCAGTCGCTTTTTGTGGCCACTATCGGAATTTTGTTTATTCGCCTCGCCGCGCCACTTTACAACAACAACAACAACAAAACACATTTATTAGACATAAAATGGAGATAAGCAAATAGTCCAGGTCACCGGTTGACCTGAGACCTTTAAAGCGGATTCCTACCAGTCACTCTGCATCGTACTCTGCCTCAAACGACCACTTAACCGCTAAATTCTAGTTGAATTAGCGGCGTATTTGCGAGGTGGGTTCAATCAACCCTCTCGGCCGGGGCAAATGTAGAAAGACGATGGTCCGGCGGATGCATTTGAGGAATTCTGAAGATTCGATCGTGTTCCCCACTCATAGACCCCATAACTACTTTCGTAGTTAGGCACTTCCGCTTAGCTGGCTTTCTACTGTTTTCAATAAATTGATTTAACCCGCGAGTTGCTGGGGGGAGGGCGTTAAACGCCCCGACTTTTTTCGCCGGGCCATAGCATAAAAACGGCGCGCCGCAGGCGCGCCAAATTTTGGGTACCTATAGGGAATTGATTTAAGTTTATTGTCACAAAGTTTCAAAAAAAATCGGTCGGAAAATTTTTGAGAAATCGAGGTTTTAGTGACGTCATTATTTCTGAGTTTTCGACCAAAAACGGCATATGTTCAAAAAATCATATAAAATCACAGAATAGACATACAGACATGCCGTAAATGCCATTAGACTGCCAATACCATGATCAATCAAATGGCTATCTTCGATTATTGATTATTGCTCCGCATTTTCGATAATCTTAAAGTGAATCTTGGCAATTTTTCGTGACTACTTTACGACCATGACACATGAATTTCTTAAATTGAGCTTTTTGAGCCAAACACTTACACATATGATAAAATGAATGTCACCATCGTGTTCTACGCTCAAAATTACCTATAAAACATGTGTCACAGGCTGTGAATATCAGTTTTGATTTTCGGGGATATGTGCCTACCCGGTTGACCTGACCTTGACCCTGACCTATGCTTGACTGACCCCTACATGGAGCTGACACTCTTGTAGGCCTTATAAGATGGATTGTGCACCGTTTTGACAGAGTTTATGGCGAGAGGCGCCCATTGTGACGTCCTGAAGTCCATGCTACTGAAAGCCCGATTTCAGGTGTTTGACCTGACCTTGACCCGACCTGTGACCTCAAAATTCAACTTTAAAGTACTCATCTGAAGCGTCTCGTCGCGCTCTTTCGTTTGCCGCCTCGTGCGTTTCGCTGCGCCTATTGGTTCTCGAGTTATCGGCTGTGGGCGTTTAACGCCCCCCCCCCCCCCCAGCAAACGGTGGGTGGCGAAATACCCCAGCAACTGCCGGGTTAATAAAGGATGGTCAGTAAAACCAATTTTCTTTTTTCCTCAATAGTTTTTTTAAGAATTAAATTAAACATAATTGTTTTATAATTTCTCGTAAAAAATCAGTGTTGTCATGAAATTGTAATTTGTAAGACACTTGATAAATTACGGCAACTACGCAAGTGTGCTTAGTTACGGAGGTGTAAACAATTCCAGTTGTGGCTTTGTGAAACGGCTTCATTTGCGCTCCGTAGTTTGAAAGGGTGTGAGTTACGGAAAGGTGTAAGTTACGGCAGAGCTTTACGAAACGAGGCCCTGGTCTGCGCAATATGGCCGCCACCGTTAGACACTTCGGCCAATAGAGTTGAAGGGGCAGTGCTCCCCTGTGGAAGGATGCCATGCAAAAATCGACAACACGGGTGAAACGCACGTGACAATAACGCATAAAGCAGCCAGGCCTTTAGGTTTCTCGTGGATGTTGGGGTAGGTAAGGTTTACGCCTCAAAAGTTCCCGCCGATGCCTCCGTAAGTCTGACCCCTACCCTCCCCCCTTCAAAAAAGTTCCTACGCCTATGTGTGTAGTAGTGATGAGCTCTGTTTAGATGTGCTCTGTGCAGGGTCCACGGCACGCAGCACTCACCTGACTCAGCACAGAGATGTGCTCTGTGTAGTAGTGGTCGGCGGCGGCGCGCACAAACCGGTTGCAGAGGCACGACTTGCCGACTCCGACGGCGCCCTTGTCACGCTCCGTGCCCGACAGACCCACCACTGCCACGTTGAACGTGCGGCCCGCCTCCGTCTTGCGGTGCATGACGCGCTGCAGCGTGGCGGCCGCCATGGCCTTGCGGTGGCCGCCCCAGCGATGTCACTGGCCCGTCCGGACGGCCAACTGGCAGCACACGTGGCAACAGTTAACAATAGAGCTTACTACACACTGCACAGGCACGACGTTCCAACGGTACAAAAGGGCGCGCTAAAAATCAGGAACAGTTTCGAGCCAAATATATTCATTTCCGAAAAAAATAGCCATCATTGTTGGTGTAGTTTGGTCATTAAACACTCGCCGGCATACCTATGCGTTTTCCAGCCACATAAGTTTTTCCTACCATATCCCGCCCTACCCTTACCCGATACAACGCTACCCAACCTACCCTACCTCGACATTTACCCTGGACTACCCTTACTCTACACCTACTTTATTTCAACCTCACTTCTACCTACCTACCTTCCGCACATGCTGTGAAAATGTTATACCAAGGTCACTCAAGGACAGGTCACCAGGTCACGTAGTGACCTCACCTCATAAAAAGCTTCAATGTCTGCCATAGGTACACCGAGTGACCGATCGCTTTGAAACTTTCAGCAATTGATATGAGCAGCAGTAGGGGAGGGTGAGGTAAGACGGCCAGTCACACTGCCGCTATCAGGGTTTGGATGTGGTCAAAATGAAATAACTCGCTAACCAATGAACATATTTTGAAGAAATTTTTCAGGGTAAGTGAAGGCATCTATAAGGCAGATTTTGAAAGCGTATGAGCTTACATTGAAGTCCAGTCTTTCTATATTTTTTTAAGAATTGTCATATATCTCTTGTTGCCACGGGGGAGTTGACGCAAAATGGTTTTGCAAATAATTGTGAATTACGCAAGCGCATCAAGCTAAAACTTGGCCTACAATTGTATGCATGCCTCTTAACCCGCGCACCGACGGGGGGCGGTTGACCCCCCCCCCCCTCACTGATGTTGTTCGCGAATAGCGCAAAAACTGCAGGGTGTAGCGCCGCGAAATTTGGCATGACTTTTCCCTTATCAATTTTACACATGGTGTGCGAGTTTGAACCTCCTATCTTTCAAAGTCAGGTCACCAGGTCACTTCGAATGACCCAACCTCAAATCACCTTTTTGCAACTTTGTCACCGTGTCAGAGCTACAGTAGATGACGGAGGGGTTTGAAAGTCGCAGGATGTAACGAGGTTATTAGTAGCTACAATTGGCATATCTCAGAATTCTGACATCGATGACCTAAGGTCAGATTAATTTCTTGACCTCCTCATTAGCTGAAGATGGGGGAACACCGCCCTTAGGGGAACACCGCCCTTAGGGGAACACCGCCCACCCCGATATCAGAAATATGAAAAGGTCTTGGGCGACAGCTGACTGTCTTTTGGCAGCATGACGTCAACAGAAGTGCAGGTATGGGCAGTGCACCGCATTGTTTTAGGTGATTTACGAGAAATTCCGAACTTTACGTTTCGTGAATACGTTTTATACTTCTTGTAGCATAATTAGGAGAAGAAAACTTATCTTCTTTGACAGACAATAGTCCTGAAGTATTATTTTTTGCCATAATTGGGACTCATCCAATCATTTCGTGCTTCTGCTCGAGCGCTATTTTTGTCGTGCTGCCATATTGAAGGATTTTTTTTTTAAAGAAAAATGCCGACCCTTGGGTAACACCGCCAACTTGGGCAATTTGGTATTCAATAGCACATTGTGATACCTGACCCAGGAGTGACGCATTTCAAATAAAGAAAGAACACTGTTGCTATGTTTTCTTTTTAGAGGATAATGAAAAATTTCGAGAAAATGAAATTTTGGGACTTCAAGTTGTCTAGCTGTATAAATGAGAACTACATTGTACCAGGAATATACCTAATGAAATTGTTCCAAGTGCATTTTATGAGTATTCTAAAACGCCTCGAAATTTACGATAAGAAGAACAACTTAATAGTTAAGCAACTTACAAATTTCGTTGCCTGCTGAGCTCGGGCGGTGTTACCCAGTGGGCGGTGTTACCCCGGAAAATGTAGGCATTTACTAAATCTGGAATGATGTACAGGGTGTCTCAAAAGTTCGTTGACACATTTCCCATGCCCATAAAGCATATAAGAACCGGCCAAAAATCTAAGGTTTGGTGTCTGTGCACACTAGACAAATATGCATGCTTTGACAACTGATTCGCGAGGATGGAAATCAAACCCTTTGCTGTATCTCCAAAAATATTTGCCCGTGCCGATTTTCGTCGCTCCGTCAGCTGCCGGAGGCTGATTAAAGGTTACCAGCTTTCAAGCTCTTGTAGGGGAATCCCCTGCAGTTTCTGCGTCGGATTTAGGTTTGACGAGCTCCCCGGCAAAATCCGCTTCTCCCCGAAAGCCGACAGCTTGCATCAACACCAACCGTGAGTATTTTGTAGGTCTTCTCTGGCGCTAACCTGAAACTTCTTCATGAATGATTGGCGCCGACCTCCCAAGCACCATTTTCCTTTTCAAAACAACCCCATTCCTGAACAAATGGGAAGTGTCAGGGGCAAATTTTTCGCAGCATATTGTAGAAGAATGTGTCGGCCATCTGTTTCTTAGACACATTGTGCAAATTTTGCAAATCCCAAACGCTCGTCATTCCCCATGCCAAGACCTTCGCTGGGTTCCGGAGTGTTTTCCTCAGGAGAGGTTCTGCTTTGTAGACGGCAAAACCTGTCCATCGTGTGGTTTTGTCGGGATTTTGAGCCTAAAAGAAAGCTATTCGCTCCAGATCTGCCTCTTGAAACTTCGTAAGATAATACTTTACATTAATTGACATTTTTGGAGGGTCTGTTGTCCTTGGTATTGACGATTTTCGTGTTATTTCCCCAAAAATTTAGCGTTATAGATATTATAAACAATTTCAAATGATATTTTGTCTTTATTTTACGATGACTTGCAATTTTTGAAACTGGGTAACCTCTGTCTATGAGCTTCTTGTCAGTTTTCAATAGTTAGCTGCTTTCCGGAGCACGAGTCTGCTGCCGTACGAGGGTCGTTCAAAACGCTGTTAGTCTCGCATAGTTCTGTCCTTCAAAAATTTTAGCCACCGTTTTTACATATTAGATGATCATCATGTTGTACTCAATACTCATCCTCGCCGACACTGCCATGTGTCATTTCCGACTAAACCATTCCCATTATGCGACCTTGATTTTCATGCTTGACCCATGGTCATAGATGAACCCTTTTTGTGAGCTCATGAAGGGTCGAATGCGCTTGAAAACAATGAGACTGCTTGAGGAAGGTTGTCGCCAATGCCCATGCAAAATTTCGAATATTAATTTATTGTTGATTCAGAATTATTAACAAAAAAACCATGGCTGGTACCTGGGGCATTCCACGATAGATCGTACCACTTTTTTCCAATTTGATACCCTCATCTCTCGGAATTTGACGAGAATTGGTCTCAGGGGTAATCAAGGGCTCTGAATCCACCTGTAACTTTTCTTTTGCATTGGTAGCCTTGCGTGACGTCATTTATGACGTCACTAGGGTCGTACGAGTTTTTCGTCAATAACTCCCGATCAAATGGAGCTAGAGAGTTGGGAAAGCCACCAATGGACTCGGGAAGACCTTCCGAATCGAATGATATGCCATATGATAAGGGTTGCCCAGCTTCGTGACCTGAGGGGCTCTGACCTGACCTTGATCCGAGGTCAACTGCTTAAGTTGACCTCACCCTAGCAAAAAGTATACCATTCGATGCACCTGAGCTAGGCGAACACAATGATGCCAAAATCGCGGCTCTGCGGCCATTTTTTGCGAAGTTATTTACTAAAAACCGAACCCGTAACTTCAGTCACTTGACCTGACCTCAGACGCTACCGGTTAAATTGAGACCTTAAAATCGGGTACCAATCGCTGCGACTTGTTGCGGCACATATGCTCGTTTTTCCGCGAGGCTCTAGCTCTATTAGAAGCGAAACGGCGTGCTGGGGTCGTATCAACCCCTCCGAAACCCATTTTGTTTGCGGGAAAATGAGGATTTTATAGAAAGAACACCTTTCTAATCTTTTGCATGTCGATTTGCAATGACATGAAGTTTATTTTGGAAAAATAAAAATTTGAAAAATTTTGGTCCCAAAGGTCATTAGAGGCAAATGAAAAAAGATTAAGGGTTTTGCTCAACAATGAAAATTTTTCTTTGGAATTTTTAAATGGTAATACTAATTTTTGATTCATCGCAAGCTTAGTGTTGTTTACTGTTTGTTGGTAGCTTAACCCGTTCTTGAGTTATAGGCCATCAAACTCACCGTTACAAACCGAAGTTAAAGGGAGATAATGAGCTTTCTTTTTTATTAAATAAAAATTACTCTACATCTATACTATTTCTACTGTAGTTTCTATAAAATATGAAAATTTCCTAGCACATTTTCGTATGTGAAAAAAGGTTTTTATTTTTGCAAAAAAGAAGCAGTACTTGCAGTACTTGTAACACCCACCGAAATGCGTTGTCCTTCTCTATAAAAAAGTCGCAGTATATGGCGCTTTTGTTTCAAACAGCGACGCTTGGGCTTTTGTTTATGTTATCGCCTTGTCGTTGCTTGGTTGTAAGGATTCTAATTTGAATTAGAGTTAATTCGGTTTAGAATTAATTAGATTCTAATTCGGGGGTACATAGTGCCTACTCTTCTTTGTTTCCAAGTATTATTTTGCGCCACAAATGAACGGCATGCGCCAGAAACGCAGCCAAATCTTGCGATTGCGACTACGAAATTCATTATTTTGGCGTCAGAGCCTGAAGCGAAAAATACAAGCATATTTATTTCAAAAAGACTTCAGGTTTGTCGAACGGTGTTATGAGAATTTTGATAACAGTACTGCATAAGTTTTTCAGTGATGCGGCAAAAGTGTTGTATCTATCTTCTTTTATTGTGCAGTCGGCGGGACCGATTCAAAATTGAGTCGTTGCTACTAAAATAGCAGCATATGGCGTCAGATGATGAACAGGAAAAATAGTTGCGTAAATTTAGACATAAACTACCCCCAAACCATGAATATCTTTTGAAGGCACTATAGACGACCATTAACTAACTAGATGTGATGAAGATCAAATGTAAGGAATACGCTCATTTTACAAAATTACA